TACTTATTCCTGTAAATGATTTCAGAAGAAACTTGATTACTATTCTTCAACAATTTGTTACGCATAAGAGTATTTAAAAGTATTTATTTCAGAACGGCATAGTTGTCTTGAGTCCTCTGATTTTCGATCTGGCCTAATTGTGTACCTCATTGTCCATTTTAGGTTGAACAAGGAAACCCTCATGTTCTTCTGGAAGACATGTTCTCGAGATTCTCAAGTTTTGCGAAAGCTTCTACAATGTGAAATCTGATTTCTACTTTACAACCTCAGCAGCTTGACACCATCATGCACACAGGGCTACAACTTCCAGTTTCCATCATGAAAGATCAACCTCGAGTGAATTCTTGTTCTTATTCCATGACTTTGAGCAAGACTTTTGAAGACTTCTCAGGGCTCCTATTAGCCAATACGATTAACAAAGATGCTATATTGGGCAAGTCCAGGGTTCCCTTATTCATTCATTGTTGTCGACAAAATCTGGAAACTGATTTTCTTTTTCCATTTTAGCAACTCTGGCAGTATGGACCCGATTAGCAAAGATCTACCAGTCAATCTAGAAAGGGAGGAGTCAGTCGTTCTGCCATTGATTACAGGCAAACCTTCCGCAAGCTAAAGCCCTCACTACCTGTAATTGACAAAAGTAATGTTGATAGTTAACTTAGCTCATAATCAATATCCTGAAACAAGTAACTCTTTTTTTGAAGTTAGTAGAACCAATTTAAAGCAATTCAGCTAGATTAGTTCTTTTTTGGGTCTCTGATTATGTTCTGCGATCAGCAGTGGTGCGACACGTGTTGTAATCAGCAATGATGGATCTTTCATGAGCTTTCTGCCATCAAACCTACTGATTCAGTCTAGACATGCTACGGACCAGAGAATGGTATAGAATCAAAGCGAAGGATTATTTTGGTGCCTCCGCTACCATGTTAGTAAAGCATCTGATGTATCGCAAAAAAATTGCATGCATATGAAAGTGAAGAGTCACCTAATGCATAGAGGCATAGAGCTGTTGAGTATCTAGAGTTGTGTTTGTTGGACCACAGAGAATATGATAATCAAATTTTCAGATCTTGGAATGGTTGGGACGTATCGAGACTGGAGATTTATCCTGTGGATTAGAATAAAAGCTTTGAACTGATGGCTAGGGTGGTTTTGATAAAGCCAGAGGCCTTCCTCATCCTTTTGGCTTTGTTTTTTCATTATATTTGATGCCATATCATTGGTGGCACTGGCTTTTTTCCAGTAAATTTAGGAATGCTGTCCTCGGAGTGCTTTGGTCTTGCGCTTGAGAGCATCAAGAAAAGTAATAAGATTTGCCTCCAGCATTAACGGGAAAAAGTCTAATAATGCCACATTAACAGGATTGGCTTACACGGATGCAAAATACATCAGTCTGAGAACTAATGTGACAAAAGGAACTTGTTGGCACCTAACTAAGATACACGCGAGTTCTCCGCATCACTTCGCGGACTGATTTTGCATATCACTAGAATCAGATATCTATCCCTATCTATGGATAACCTCCTGCTATAGCCATTAATGTAACAGAAGAAGGAACTGATCTTGTGAAAACATAGCAAATTCACAATGGCCTTCCATCATTGCAGTGTGCTGTGGTCACCTGGCACCTGGGCAGGATGTTAGGCATTTCCAGGGACAGAACTTGTCCTCTTATCTAGCAGGGAAAAATCAAATAGAAAGGAAAGGCAAAAAAAAACAAAAAAACAGATTCAGTCAAGAAAGATGTGCTCATCAAATAAGACAACAGAACATATTCAGTCAATAACACAGGAGGTTCCTACCTAGACAAAAGCAGGTTACTGGCCAATGATTTTACCGGACGGTGCATGTGCAACCACCTCTGATTCAACTTTTGTTGAAGCAAAATATTTCATGCCTGCCTCATAATGCTCTTGTGGTCCTGAGCATCCATGAGAGACAAAGCTTAAGGCATTTCGACACTTGTTACTTGCAAAGCACATAAAGTTGCCACCTGGCTCTATTCTTGAGAGACTCTCGTTTGCTGAAACCCCATTTCTTTTGAATCCTGTTCCTTTGTTTGATTGGCTTATTTTAGCTCCTTGGCCGAAAGGGCACGGCCCTTTTTCCTCCCCTTGTAGATTTAATATGTGTGGGATTGGAATTTGGACCAAGCTCTATTATTCTTTGTATACCCTATGCTAGTGTTTTCTAAAGGACTTCATCTTTTGTGTAGGATTCATAGTCATTGGCAGATTATCACTTAGGTGACATGTGAATTGCGCAGCTTTATTCAGTGGAGTCACTGTTAGAGCATATAATATTGGATGGTTACAATCCCAAGTCACTCACACGTGCTCTTTCTCTTTCACCTCTAGTCCTTGTGAATCTAAACCCCCGTTTATTCTTCGAAATAATGAACCATTTGAAGAATATATCCCTAAAAACGATAACTTGTATCACCTAAGATGATTAGTCAATGGAAAATATTTTCATCATCGACAACAATTTATGTCTAAATATTTTCACGGATAATGAAAATGTCTTTTACTCGTTCATTTTTTGTAAGTAACACAAGCAGCCATTTTAGTAAACATTTGTTCATTTGTAGGGTTCAAGCTAACCCGATAAGAATGAGATTTTTGTAATACCGATGTACTCGACTTTCCATAAATAGCATGGCTATAAAACCATGAAAGGGTTTGCATGATTTGGTGCATGCCCTTCGATTTTGAATAATGCATCCTCACTTTCATTATTATATGTTCCTCCCCACATGGGACATTCTTTTTGGGTATTTCAAACTCCAAAGTGATGGAAGCCTCTACACAGACCACAAAAGCGGATTGATTGTTTTTGGAACTGCATATCTCTGGACATTGGACAACACTTTAATGAATTGAGAATATCATGGAGCGTATTTCCTTAAAATAAGCAAACATGCTAGTACGGAGAGACTTTTAGGCAAGCAATTTTTTTTAATGGAAACATCTTTCTATTCAAAACGAATAATTTTTCGCCGTAACTTTGGCTTTATATAAAGCAAAATAAGAGGACCGGCATCGACGGCCGTATTGCAAAAAAGTTTTCTTTCACGAGTCATTTTAGTGAACGTTGTGCCCACTTTCAATATAAAACGTTATGGATTTCTTACAAGGCACACCGTCGTATCAAATAAATTATGCGCATGATCCGATAGAACATACGTTGAGTGATTGGTGGTGGTGCTGCAACATGAAAGTTTGATTTTGCATTTCCTTAATTCAGGATGCACATGTCAGGGTCCTAAAGAATGCACAACTGTAGCTTTTGTGCTTAGTGAGAACGTGTCACTTGTCTAGCCAACAGGTCATGATGTCCCCTTGATGATTGCTCCAAGGAAAATGATGTTATCCAGCGATGAAGCCCAGAAAATGAGGTGATCTAAGTTGGGGACATCTTCTCGTTGAGATTAATGGATGATCCTGGGGGGACGTGAAAACAACACTGGAAAGTGAAGAGCATTCATGAAGTTAGGTTTTGTTCGGGGATACCGATCAGTCCTGAATTCGGGGTTTATTCAGTCTTAAATTTCTAAATTTTACAAATTTAGTTTTAAACCTTTGTGTGAAATTTCAAGAAAAAAGTACCCAAAAAATCTTAAATATGTCGCATTTGTACCAATTCAGTCATAAATCTTTCAATTTGACAAATTTAGTCATAAATCTTTTGCGTTTGTACCAATTAAGTCCATCCGTCAATTTTGACTGAAAATCGCTGATATGGACGCCTATGTGGCACGGCCGACGGCTGGTGCTAATATGGACATGTTTTAATAATATTTTGATTTTTTACATTGTTATGGCTTTTTTTCTTTTTTGATTGAGGGCTGGCAAGGGCTGCCGGCCGGCTCATGCAAACCACAGGCCAAGCTCTCGCCCAGGCAGCGATGGTCAAGCCCCTACTAGAGGCCGTCGAATCTATGCTCGTATGAACCGAGTTCAATCCGTGCCCATCGTATTTGCATTGCAAGCATTGCCGAGGAAGGCTTCTCAAAGGCGTAGGCTCCACGTTTTGCGTCTTCTATTGGAAAGAATAGCCTGGCTTGGCCCTCCCTGCCTCTGGCGAGGGCTCGACCCTCTCGGCCAAGCGAGAACCGCCCTCACCGGATCTAGCGAGGGCTTGGCAACCCTCTCCTATGGCCAGCCCTTTGCCAAAAAAAAAATAAAGAGAAGAAAAGAAAAAAGAAAAAAACCATAAAAAAATTATAAATTTAAAATAATGTTAAAATATGTCCACGTCAACGCCAGCCGCACCACGTAGGACGGTCGGAGTCTACGTTGGTGATTTCTAGCCAAAATTGGCTGGATGGACTAAATTGGTACCAATATATAAATGTTTAGGAGTAAATTGATCAAATTGAAAGGTTTGGGTATACCAATGCAATAGGTTTAGGTCTTCTTGGTTGTTTTCCCGAAAATTCAATACAATCCTTCCGGCCAATCTTCACCGGAAATCACTAACGTATGACGATCCAGTCATTGCCAACCGTCCTACATAGTACATTGCCACGTCAACAATTCGCATTGAAATTTCGTGCAAATGTTCAGAACTAAATTTGCAAATTTTAAAAATTTAGGACTGAATTGACATCCGTACATTAGGTTTAGGACTGATTTGACAACTCTTTTCCATTTAAGTTTGAGTTATCCATCCACATTTTAATGAAAACTATAGCATGATGGTTCATGGGTATAAACTTTAGAAGTGTTTAGAACATGCATGGACTGCCAATGGCTTTGATTCATGCGGGACCTTTTTCTTTCCAATTCGCAAAACGAACACTTCCTTCTCCCTACATTAAAAAGCGCCTATGATGAGATCAGCCATACTAAATTGATGACAGTTCTCAAAAAACATAGGATTCATAGAAAATTTTACATAATATCACAGAGAAAATTGCGATAGTCCACGTATTACTATCATACAAGAAGTTTTCTCGTCATAAGAAAATTCAGGACAAAAAAAAAACATAGAGAAAGTCAAACGTCTCGAGGGTCAACAAAGAGTACTGGGGATTGACCCTTAGACATGTGAACCCAATCCAAACCCCCACATTTTTGGACGAGTTCCTCCTGAAGGAGCTTGATGCACCATACGTCTTCCGACCACGAAAATCTCTTCCAATGAGGGATCGCTGCCTTGACCGGGTCCTCCGGCCCCACCTCGGCGACCACGGCGCCGCACCCGGCGTCGTCCTTCGCCATGTTGTGCGCGAAATCGCAGAGCGACTTCATCAGGCTCGGCCCGTGTTCCCCCGTCATGTACAAACCATACAGAAAGTAGAACCCGAATCGCTTGAACACGTCGGGGAACGAAGGTATCCTCAGCCACGGCATGCACGAGTCCAGCATTCTGCTCCCGGCGCAGCACGCGTGCATGAGCCTGGAAGCGCCCTTCACTCGGAGGTTATACACTCCCTTGGTGTTCCACACGCTCATGACGGCGAAACTCGACGGTGGCAATGTCCCCGACTCCGGGTCCCACGTGTGGGCCGACTCCTTGGGGATCGCCACAAACGTGCCCAAACTGAGGGCGTGTGCGACAATCTCGTCCATGTCCTCGGGGAAGAAGTCGGAGCCAGCGAGGACGTGCCGATACATCGACTCGGCAAGCCTCGGGGCGATCCGGACAATGGAGACGTCCGGGCCCGGCGGTTCGCGGTGAGCGTGGACAGGTCGCACCAGCAGGGTCGGGGTGCGGAACTTGGTGAAGTCGCATTTGGTGGTGAAGAGTTTGAGGGAGGGTGCGTTGGTGGCATCCGTGGCCATGTAGGCGTAATCCGCACCGTGCCGCTTGCACCATCTCTCTATTTCTTGGACCAGTCTTGTGGCAATGCCATGCCTCCTTCAAAAGAGCAAACACCAAAGCGATACATCGTTATTATATAGTAAATGACAGTTCGAGTTCTATGTATGTTTCGTATGACATGGAGGAACACTGCTTCCTCTTTACAGCTTAATCTAATCTTTGGGTGGGAATAAGGAACAGTCTCTCTTATTCTAATGTTGACTTGACGGGCATTGCGATCGCTCCGAAAGACGACACGTGTGGCAACTGAACCGTAGAATTTTTCTTTATAAAGATATCAAAAGAACTCGAACATGTAGCTAAGGCAACTGAACACCATAGAAGCCATGTGAGCGCATAGAGAGACCCTCAGCGTCCACACTTCGCAACGCGATCGGACTTGACTCGTGATTCCGGCGACAAAGAAGCGAACGTCTTGACATGAGACGCATGTTTAGCACCACAACAAAGCGACACACATGCATGCCCCCCAAACCAACCATCGTCATTACGATCGAAGAAGCAGAAGAAGAAGAAGAAGAGGTAGAAGAAGGAGGAGAAAACCTGTGAGAAAGAGAAACCCTGAGCCCCAGAACATTAGCAGCCGTCACATAATCTGATGACGACGACGATGGGTTATTGTTGTTCCCTCTAATTTTCACTCTCTTGATACACCCTCTGATCACCCCAACTATTTCTCCACCCTCTCCCCACTCCGCAACCTGCACAGTTTCGCGAAAATAAACCCATATGAATATCGTAATCCCTTGTCACATGCGATATCGTCTACGTACAACCTCTATGTCTATATACGAAATAAATACAACTAGATTGAAAGATGGTGTGCGAGAGCGAGGGAGGGAGAACGAGATACCAGCATGACATGCAATGTGAAGCTTCGGACGCGACAGAGGGGGTCGCCCAAGAGGTCGGTCACCAGAATTGCCTTCTTCTTCTTCTTCATCCTCTTCGCCTTCTTCTTGTTGTCTGGTCCCGATCTCTGTCCCGTGACTTCGCATCGCATCTCCATTCTCTCCACGCCCGCCTTGTCTCTCTCCTCCTCGTACTCTCTAACCACCACCGCCGCCACCAGCGGCTCCTTGGCGGTCGGACCCGACCACGCCTTTGGACTATCCTCGGCTGCTACCTTCTGGGACATCTCTCCCTTAACCCTAGCTAGCTTGATGGTAATGATATCGATGATGATGATGGCGATGAATGCGGTGATGATATGCAAAAGCTCTACCTAATTATGCCACTCTCTTCTAGTTCTAGTGCATGGGCAAAGTGCATGTTCTCTAATCCTCAGGATCGCCCCTTTCCCTCTATTTATAACACATTAATAACTGAGTGGGCCTGGTGACGTGGCAATACCAAGGAGGGAGATACGTATTCGTCTTCTCTCTCTCTCGAGCCACGTGTTGCGAGAGGAGTGGGACCATGTGTGGGGAAAAAGGGGTGAGCTTTCAAGAAAAGACTATCAAATGGATTTCGAGTGCTTACATCATTGGTTTATTGGGGCCACCTTCTAAATAAATCCGATTGGCTCCACCAAATTGAATGATGCGAATGTATTTGTTGGGCGCATGCGTTCATACATGATATAGTTTAGTCAATATTCGTACTCAACGTGTCACGTTATTCTATGACCAATTGAGTTGAACAATTCGTATGAAAGCTTGTTATATACTTGTAAAAATAAGGAAAAATGACACAAATGGTCCCTAAACTTTGACTGAATATGCAATGTGATCCCTGAACTTTAAATTTGTTCAATATAGTCTTTGAACTTTTGGTACATGTTCAATTTAGTCTCTCGATTATATGAAAATGTTCAGTGTTTCCTTCCATTAATTCAAGTTCAAGGACAAATGAAAAGACAACATTGAACATTTTCATACAATTCATGGACTAAATTGAACATGTACCAAAAGTTCAGGGATCACATTGAACAAATTAAAAATTCAGGGACAACATTGCATATTAGATTAAAGTTCATGGACCACATTACACATTCGACCAAAGTTCAATGACCTTTTGTGTCATTTACCCTAAAAATAATGTTGACTTATATTGATATTTTCATTCTAAACGAATGAGAAACTAGGGTATTTATAGTGAATATTTATCGGAATGGGAAGTGGTGATCCCACGATGACTAATTAACAGATAGTGGGTTAGAGATATGCTAAAGTGGTCTTGAAAATTGATAGAGATAAGCTAAAAGTGATTGGCTAAGTTGATTTGAAACTGAATACTAATAGCCTAATAGGGATATGCTAAAGTGGTCTTGAAAATTGATTCGCTAAAGTGCAAAATAGAATGGAAATTTACGTAAAAAAAATGTACTTAAGAATTAGAGATTTGCGTGCAAAACATAATTGACATATGTAAAAACAATATATGTACAAAAATTAGAGATTTGCTAAAGCACGAAATGGAATTGATATGTACATACAATATATGTGCTTTAAGAATTAAAGATTTGATAAAGTGACCATCAAAAGTAAATTGATGAGTAAAGCTCACACGTGGCCATGTCATATGACTCAACCTCGCACGAGTTTTATAGTTCAAAGGAACATATAAAAACGATAGATCGTCGCTAGCTTTGTAATTTTATTAACCAAGTTGATTGCGAGCATGCTCACTGATGAGCTCACGTTGGACCAACTCGATGTCATCTTGTGAAATACTTGGAGAATGTCGATGCCAAAGCCTCCCGACCAGCGAATGATAGCGCATCGTATTGGGTCATAGTCTTGTCTTGGAATTGTCCACGCCGATCATATTTGGCATCCGATGATCTACTATAGCCATTGACGTTTGGCCCAAATGATGCATCCGCGACATATAAGAAGGATCTTGATATTGATTAAAAAAAAAGGATATCAGACAGATTCATTTTATAATCAACACGATAGACTAACTCCGCCTTTAATCTGCTAGTATCTACTCTTTAACCTATGATTGGCTTGATATATGGAAAGCCCCCCTTCTCATATGTACTTTTAGTCAACAAAGAATTCTGTAAAAGGTTAGGGGAAAATTACCAAAAAGTTATAAACCTATCGCAATCGTGCCAATTTAGTCATAAACATTTTTCTTTTTCTGCCAATCGAGTCTTAAATCTTTTTGCATTTGTGCCAATTCAACCCATCCAACTAATTTTGGCCGGAGACATGAATGCCGGTCGTCCTACATATCACGACCGGCGCTAACATGGATAATTTTTAATAATTTTCTGGAATTTCTTAACAATATTTTTTCTTTTCTTTTCCTTTCATTCCTTCTTTTCTCTTGTTTTTCCCTACTGTGGTTGGCAACAATCACCAAAGCTCGCCGACCGTGGGCTAAGGCGGCCCCGCCTACGGCTGTCGAGGCCATGATCATCATCACCTGCGATTGCGCCTCGCGATGGTCTGGGTAGGCGTGGCCGGCGAGGCTAGCCACCTTGCCCAGTGGCCAACACAAGGGCTTTGCGGCCCTCGCCAGCCACGGTGGGGAAAAACAAAAGAAAATAAGGAAGGAAAGGACAAGAAAAAAACAAGGGAAATGGAGAATGAAAGAAAAATAAAAAAAAATTAATAAAAAAAAATAATATTGATCGAAATTAGCCAGATGGACTAAATTAATGCAAATGAAAAAAGGTTAAGAACTTGATTGGCAAAAAAAAAAAGATTTACAACTAAATTGGCACAATTGCAATATGTTTAGGATTCAATTAGCAAAAAAAAAAAATATTTAGAATTGAATTGACACAATGCAATAGGTTTAGTAATTTTTTTTTTAGTAATATTCCAAAAGTTTAGTGTGGGTTGACCTAGTTGTCGACCGAGAGTATATTAGGTCAAGTGGCAAGATGGCAGGCGTGCAAGTGGTGTAGTATAAAGAGAGAGGATTCATTGGATGTTGGCTTTCGAGATTTGTGAACCCAAGTGGGACTAGCAAAATACAATTTCCATATGCTTCACGCCTTATTATTCTACCAAAAACTATCGAAATGAGTGCAATTTAAATAGTTCTTCGATTTAATTGGAGATCATTCTGAGCTCGAGCATTGTGCACGTAGCCGCCTAATGCATGTGGCATGCGCGTACTTTCTCTTGTAATGATTGACCAATGGATATGGTCCCAATTATTGCCTCATTAGATAAAAGATTTTAGCTTATTGTATGAATCCTCTCATGAACTATATCCGCAGATGTAATCATAGAGAGAGATTATGACAAGATGTGGTACGAATGATAGCTTAAGATGTCTGATGGAGTGACATGCATAGATATTGCAAAATCTAGAACGATAATACACTTTTCAATCTTTGGAAAAGGATTTAAATTGCATGTTGTATGAAAAAGTCAATGGCTAACTTTTGGCTCAATAATAAAGGCCAATACAAGCATGCCCTAAGCTCACTTCCAATTGGTGGAAACCATGCGTAGCATAGCGGATTGATATCTTGCATGTTGATAGAGGACCTTCTTCCCAAGGTTAAGACACATCTCACAAGTAGATAGATGCAGGTGACAATTTCATTTTGCCTTCTATTGCCAACATCTCCGAGTGGGAAAAATTATCCAAAAAAATCCTAAACATATTGCACTTTTGCCAATTGAGTCCATCCGGCCTCATGGAAGGTCACCCTTGCCGAGATCTAGCGAGGGCCGACCTCGTTGAAGGCTGGCGCCCGCAGCTAGTGAGGCGGCCTTCACTGGCCTCTAGCAAGACCGACCCTCATCGGCGGTTGCCTTTGGCCGGTCGCCGGCCATCGCCTAGGCTCGGCAGCTGGCTAGAGAAAGAAGAAGGGAGAGAACAAAAAGAAAGAAAAAGAAAGAAAAGAAAAAATTATCCACATCGGCACCGACTATGCCATGTAGGATGGCTGGCGTCCACGGTTTCCAACTAAAATTGATCGGATGAACTCAATTGGCAAAATGTGAATAGATTTAAGACCCAATTGGCAAATTTAAAAGGTTTAGGGCTGAATTCACAAAAATGCAATAGGTTTAGGGCTTTTTGGACAACTTTCCTTCTCCAAAGTGACATTGAGATAACCATGAGGGTAGTTCTAAATGTGAACCAACATGATCCACTATAAGGGACAAGTGTTGGGCATTGCTCAAAATCCTGGATGCTTCACACCCTTATTATGTATTTATAAACTTGGTGCACTTCCCTCTATGCGTCCGACTTCTTCTCCCCTTTTAGTGGGATGGCAATTTTGTGTCTTAAAGTTAGAGTACTCTATCACCATGGACACCAAATTAAAATGGGCAATACTTATCCTCCATCCCTGATGCACGCTTCTCTGGTCGGTAGGTTACAAGGAAGAAATTACCAAAAAAGTCATAAATTTATTGCACTTGTGCTAATTCAAAACCTAAACCTTTCGATTGTGCCAATTAAATACTAAACATTTTCAGATTTTGCCATTTGGGTTCATCCAGTCAATTTTAGCTGGAAATCGTTGACGTAAACATTGTCCATTCTACGTAGGACAGTCAGCGCTGAAGTGAACAATTTTTATAAAAATTCATGAATAATTTATAATTTTATAATTTTTTATTCTTTTTATTCTTTCTTTCTTTTCCTTTTTTTCTTGCAAGCCGGCAAGGGTCACTAGCCAACTCTTGTCAGTCACAGGCAAGGCCCTCCCCGGACGCCGGCGAGGGTCTCGCGGCCCTCGCCTGTGGTCGGCCGGCGACTCTCACCACTTGGTAGAAAAAAAAGGAAAAGAAAGAAAGAAAAAGAAAAAAAGAAAAAAAAAGAAAATTAATATCTCACTTATTTAATTAGTTATTTAGAGTTGGCTGCGTGACTAATCAATTTTTTGGGCCTCTTAAAATTGTCCGAAGTTTCATACAAATATGGCGTCGATAAATTTCTTGAGTAAGAAAATTCATCAGAAATGACGCAAAAGGACTCCATTAAATTGAAGTTCTCTCTCTCGGAAAAATCTCTCGAAAAGAAAATCTCTCTAAAAAAAAAAAAGAGAGAGAGAAAAAGGAGGGAAAGAAAAGCTTCAGCAAGAACTGAGTCGACATACAAGATCAGTCTTCAAGGAAAAGACCGTTTGAAGGTTCATTTGTGGAGCAATTGCTAGAGATAGGTCAATGGTACCAGTAGCATAATTGGATGATCACCAATCTCCATGTTCATAATACCCCCCTTTGATGAAATAAGCCATTCATTTCAAGCCTACCCAAACCTACGTTACAACCCTTACCGAAGTCTCTTCAGAATAGGGCACTTGAGTTAACGTAGAGTTTCAAATGCTT